CCGCCAATAAGTGCAGGACCCACCAAGATAGAGGAGGAACTTTGTCACACACACATATATATTATATATAAAAATGTGGTTTTTATTATTTATTTATAAACAAACACATTGTTTGTACATTAATGCAGCTCTTGACTTCAGAAGAACTGCACTAATTTAAACCAGCAGAGAATTTGGCCCTAATAATGGCAATGCTAACCATGTAAGGAGAGATGTGTATTCATGTACATACACCTTTTGGGAGATGGATTTTTCATGCTAGAGTTGCCAGAGTGTTAGATTTACCATTAGAAGAAGACAGCTGAGATAGCAGAGTCACTTTAGATGTTTAAAGAAAATCAGGGTATGTGACAGATGCTGCCATATTTATTGGGTATTTTTACCAGGCATATTTCACACATTCCTCCCCATTTAAAAAGGAATAAATAAGAGTTCAGTTCAGCAATCACACTTTTCCATTAGTGACTGAGGAAATCCAATCCCTGTAGGCAGAAATTCTGGTATAAACCGTTGGTGACTTTGGATGGCAATTATCACTGCCCCAGCTCACAACGCCGATCAGCTTATAATAACCATTTATTATGCATATCAGTGGCCCTCCAGAATCTCCCTGTAAAGAGGAAAGAAAAAAAAGTTACTTGCTGCTACTAGAGAGTAAAAAGGGTTTTTTAATCAGCTCACAAATATTTAGATCAGCTGAGTTACAAGGGTCCTGTTTCAAACTCTGACCTTCAATGATATATTAGCAGTGCCCAGGAGCCCATTATGTAGCTACATTTTTGCCACCAGTAGTAGCTTGGAAAGCAAGTATTCATATCCCGCCTCCAGGTCCGTACCGAGCAAGCAGTTGCTCCAGCAGCTCCACCACAAATGTTGGTATTTTTAATATCCTGTCCCCAGTAGCTCACACAGGCCTCATTGGAGAGGAGAGGTATATTTGTCTGCTGCAGCCTGATGGAGTATTCATCCTCTAGTGAAAACAAAGGAATGCATGGAGATGTGCCATTGAGGCAGGATGACAAGAGGTTACATATTTAAGACGTGTACTATGTCAGTTATCCTCTAACCTCTTCAGCCATGCCAGGCATCTCTTGACACTACAATTTGGGGATTACTATTGCAGAAATTATTTCCATTTACACACAGTTTTAGAACCTTGCATCATCATTTCATATGCACATTCAACACATTGCATAGAATGAGATTCCATGTGTGTCTTCAGAGAAAAAGAATTCCCCTCCATTCACACAGCCAGGTATAACTCACTGCACCTGTGTCATCAGCAGGGTTTGAACCCTGAGCGCTAAAATTATAGCTGAGGGTCAGCTGAGCTAAAGCATGAATTAAGTCCATTCACTGGAAGCACTATATGGACCAGTCGTTGAATGGGGACAAAGCCCCACTCTCCTGGAGCTCAGTTACACATGCATGCAGTGAGCCAACAGAACACTGAGTATGTTAATAAACACTTGCCAGGAAAAAAAGTCAGTGGAAACCCCCCACAAAAAAACCAAACAACTTTCCTGGTCCTCTTGTACTATCATTCAAGAGTAATTAGGGGTTTAACACCAGCTCGTCCACCCCCAAGTGGAGATCTAACACAACCAACGTACCAATTGACAAGGGTCAAGAAGATCAAAGAGGTATCTAGATACCATGAAAGTTGTCTCACCACATTAAAGTTTGTTGTTACCCTTTCCATATCCTATGTTTTAATAGAGTGAGCTTTTTTGGGAAAGTCACTACACCTTCTTTTTGGTTTGGAAAATGTGTCACACATCGGGGCAATATTGGAAACAAAAAGTGAACTGAGTTTAGAAGGCAACAAGCAGCTAAGCTCTCACAAGTCTCTGGACTTCATAGGTTTTCTTTAATATTAGAAAAGTAACATGTACTTACTGCCCGGTTCTGTTGCTCCCCATCCTGCCGTTAAGCATCTTGCATCAATGCTTATTTCCTCATCCCTATCTGGTAAGCAAATTATTGCTATAGAGTCTCCTGAGTAGAAGAGAATCAGGTCGGTATTTGGTATAGCTTCCCTTTTTTTATTTAACCCATCTCCAGTTTTTCTAACCCCCTTTCTCCTAGTCACCACTTCCCTCAAAACCAAACAACCCAGTATCCCAGGAAACAAATCAGAGCACCATATAGGCTCTAGTATTGTTTAGGTTTTCCCCCACAGACTGTTTGAATGCCTGAGAGAACCATTTTAAAGAGTCACAATTACATGAAATATGGGTCTTTCACAATATTTAAGTCTCTGCCTAGTGACCATACCACAATATGGCTGACATCACTTTACTTTGGTCTGATAAAGAAGGTGGGAGGGAGACAGACTTCTGAAACACTGACAGAGAAGCCAAGTTGGAGACTTTTAATTAGGCTTCCTGCAGAACTCAAGCAAGTGCACGCTCCTAAGTCAGTCACAATTAATCCTGTCATGCAAGCAAGTCACAAAAAAACCTTCACCCGTGGACCAATCTCCCCCTAGCTACACAGTGATTCAATGGATTGAGGGAAAGAGGTGCTTGATCTGCATTAGCAACAGCACACAAAGAGGGTGTACAGCAGTGTCTATGATTCACTCACTCAAAGTTCAGTATTAGCGGGCACTAACTCCGTTTACACCACGTTTCTATTCCACCAATATGTTGTTGACCAAGCTGTAACATTAGTATTTTTTGGAACAAACACCCCTACTCAAGAATTAAATCTAAGTTTAACCATGGACGGATATTCTCTGACTGTCTCTATATACACAGCTAAGATGATATTTTGTAGAGTGGTAAAGAAACACACTATTCCTTTAAATTCTGAACACGGCTAACTTGCTGTGTCAAACAAGATACTTTGTTCAAAGCAAGATACTTTGCTTCAAAAGAAAGAGGTATATGTGCCTGTCAGTGCCAGAGAGTTATACACACAAATCTTTATGCAGTGAGAAAAAGGAAGGGCCTCATAATGGAAATTATGTACCTACTCTTGGTTCTTCTAAATTTAGTATTTTAAATACTATTTTAAATACGGGAGACTTTCCACTGACTTCCCTGGGCTTTGGATCAGGTTCCGCATGAGCTTATCCAGATAGTAGTGGTGTCCTAATGGCTACTGAAGAGAACAGAGCTATATTATTACATATATGTATCAGACAGCATGTCTTGGATCAGAACCTTTTCAATGGAGCATGCCAATCCCACACCACATACTTAGACACAGCTAGAGTTGTAGTACAAAAACTGGACTCCAGATAGTACCGAGTTTGATGGGTTTCTCCAGTTCCAAGAGAGAGAGGTCATTGCTGGAAGGAAATCCACTGAAGTTATAGTGCGTGTGCACAGCTTTCACAAGGACAGGGTTGTTGCCTTTTAGGTTTGGCAACAAATAGGTTTTCCCCAGAACTATCCTGTCTGTCTGAGCACTGGGCAAGGAAAAACAGAACACATTTTCAGTTCAGTTAAGAAAACAAAACTGGCATAAAATTCTACTTAAGATAATGGGTGAGATTTTCAAAAGCACCTGTGTGACTTTGAAGCATAAATCTAGGAGATGGGATATCTCCATTAATTTATTTTTTTCTAAGGGGGGAGAGATAGCTCAGTGGTTTGAGCATTGGCCTGCTAAACCCAGGGTTGAGAGTTCAATCCTTGAGGGGGCCACATCTGGGGCAAAATCAGTACTTGGTCCTGCTAGTGAAGGCAGGGGGCTGGACTCGATGACCTTTCACGGTCCCTTCCAGTTCTAGGAGATAGGATATCTCCATTTATTATTATTATTATCAGATTGGTTTTCAATGGGACTTCTGCTACTAAGTCACACAGATGCTTTTGAAAATTCTACCCAAAACAATCAGAAGTTACCATATTGTAAATAAATAAATATGGAGAGCTCAACCTTCCGTTTCCAAAACGTTTGCATTACTGTTCACGTGTACTTTTAAACAAGGCAGTCCAGTATTCTCGAAACTCAGTTTTGTGACACTAATCACTATAGCAGGAACTGGATTCTAGTTCTGTGGAAGTCTACATTGACACAAATATTCAGGCCACACAACAAGTGTGCCAAACCTTTCCAAGAATCATTCTGCATCTCTCTCTGTTACGGAGTCGTGTCAGACAATTCAGCTCAATGCTTTTGTATGAAATACTGGTGCAACTGCCACAATCTCACTACCACTGAATAGTGAAGAGATACCAGGGCATACATCAAGTTAAGTTAACCCTCAAATGTAGTGTAATAATTAACTCTTTGGCTTGGGCTGGTAGAGGCACCACACTAGGCTAGTCATACTATAATATATGTAGAAGCAAACCTGTGTAGAGACCTATTAGTGCCAGTAGAAGTTATTTTAGGAGGATATTTTCACTGATAGTGGGGGTGATTACACTGGTCACCCAATAACCAAGATGAATTAAACCTTAGTATCCACCAAGTGCCCTGATGGAAGACCCCTGGAAATTGTATGTTTTGAGGAGAAGGAGGAATGTGTGTCTGTCTGGGGTTTTTCAAAAGGGCTGTAGCAGCAGGGAGGAGGAGGTGGTAAATACACACTTCTGGGACAGTTGTGAAGCAAGTAGTATGAAGTGGTTTTGCTTGTCAGGGAGCAACAATGATTTGGAGGCTGCCAAAATCTGCAGGCTAGCACGCTCCACTGTGATGGTGTAAGGGTTAAAGACTTTGCCCACCTGAAGTTACAGTGTCCAGCTGTTAGGACCCACTTCTCAGCAATCAGAGAGCCTCCGCAGAAGTGCTCATTCTCGTATTGTAGACTGACCAGCCAGGGCCAGGACATTTGAAGTGCTGGGCTGCCCCCAACCACCCTTGGCTTGCCTGGCTCTTCACTGACTGCTTTCACATTCATCTCAGACTTGTCCACTGGGAATGGATCCACCACTGAAATGCCACATTTGTCTGGAATTGGTTTAATTTGGTTAGTCATATTTTACTGGTCATAGCTTGACAAAGCTAAACATGCATAAAAATCCAGACAGTGAAATATCAGACATGTGCTCAAACAGAAGAAACAACCCTATCAAGAGTTCCAAGATCCCCAAAGTACATCTGGTAGGATTAAGAGGGGAGAGCCTGAAAAACTGGGTGAATCATCTGCTTCCCACACCATTAATTTTCCAAAAGGTGTTTACTGTGGGAGGGGCTGGTGTGAGAGAGACGAGATAGTTGAAACCTTAAATGAACAATATTTACTTTCCTCAGAAGCTGTTAACTTAGTAGGTGGACCTGTGAGAAATTGAAGGGAAAGACAGTTAATTAAAAAATTCCTTGTCAAGCTGTTTTCATTGGCAGTGCAAGTGTAGTGGAGGAAATTATCAAGAACAGTAATGGACAAGGTGCATTAGAGACTCTTTTTGGATCTCTGTGGAAGATATTCTGGAACATTCCACAGGTCAGTAGTGCTGGAACAATTTTTATAGAGGTGGTGCTGAAAGCTATTGAACAAAACTGTAAACCCTGTATATGATGGAAACCACTTCAAGCAAGGGGGTGCTACTGCACCCCCCGCACTCCTAGTTCCAGCACCTATGGAACTAACCTTTGGGTCACACAGCTTTGTGACAGACACCTCTGGCCTGCATCCAGAGCCACAGGAGAGGACACATCCTTTTAGTAAGAATTGTTGGATGAGTTCTTGTCAAAGAGACATGAGCAGTCATGGAAGAGTTTATTGGTTCTTGTGTGTGCAATCAGCATCTAGAGAACCATTCTTTCAGTTAAGCCTTTGGTGCGGTGGTCAGAACCATACAAAAATCCAATTAGGTATGTTACCTTAATGGAGGGAGAATGTGGTTATGATCCAGTGTTCTGCCTCGTACATTAATTCAGTAAGAATATTGCTATTTGATCCACTCATGACTGGAATTATGCAGAGGCCTGAAAATCAACACCCCAGCAACATACCTCTAGTAGTACAATTAACAACCAAGTCCATCGCTAAGAATGAAAACTGGCCATCATGGCATCCTCAGCTGAGTGTAGGATGATTCCTTCAGGAGACAGGTCACCTCAACAGAGTTGTGTACATTCAAGTTTCCCTTCCTTGAGACCTCTACTACTATTTAGGCACAAGAAGGCTATTTGGACTGGGAGAGAGAAAGACCTACAAAACATTACTTACATTTGCTTTCAAGTTCTATGCCACTCCTACTCTTCTGTGCTGGCCACTGATTCACCTCTTCAAACAGAATTTTAAAGCCTCTGTTCCCCACAGACCTGTCCGTCTTGAAATGTAGAGTCAGGTAGCTGCTGCTTGATAACAGGCTGAGAGACTTTTTTTGGCCACATAAACTAGCTGCAAATTACAAAGAGGTGAACACTTACAGAGTGACAAAGCAAATTTGTTTGTCAAATTGTGCTAAACTTATTCCTAGGGCAGCCACATTTTTTAAAAATAAAACCCAGGCCAATTAGGTATATGTCAAAACGTTATAACGACAATGAAGATTCCTGGGGCAGGGGTCCACTTACAGCTCTTTTGCTAGCTTCGCTAGGATCTTAAATGATTTGCCCAAAGTCACTCAATGTCTGAGTGCTCCGGGCTAAGTCTACTGCTACAGTATGTGGGGATAATACTTTAAGTACAGGAGTATTTTCATATCCTTCCTGAAGAGGGTGAAAATATTTTTCTCCTCCCAAGAATATTCAGTTGTGAGATGCTCTGGGCCATTTGTTAGTAAACTGTCTGAGGAAAAGCTTTGACAAAGTCCTCCATATAGTTGTGTTTCACAAGACACCGTGCTTCCTTAATTATCAAACTATCAGCTTCAGCCTTTAAAGGTCCTCTGTCAAAGCCACAGAATTAAAAAAAGAGCCATACTCAAGAAAAGGAGACTCTTACATTCTAAAGCAATCCTACTCTGTTTATGCCCAAACAGTAAGACTACCTTCACTATTCAAAACAAAGGAGTAGTATCTGTCCATGAACTGCATATTAGATCAGACGCACAAATAGAATATAGTGCAGCAGGTCGTAAAATACATAAGACTGAGGAAAGGAACAGTGGAAAGAGAAAGATAGTATGAGACAGCAGCTCCCTCTTACTGTTACCCCCACAAATAGTTCAAGAGAGGAGTCCCTGAGTTCAAAATTTCTTCAGAGTCCATCCCAGTCCGCACCCAATAAGAATTGTAGAACAATTTAGGAAGCACTCATTACCTTTGTAACTCCCATTTTCCTCTCCTTCACTTTGTTTAGTTCCCCACATACAGAGATTGTCCCCACATCATATGTTGGCCAACTTCCCTGAGACAAGGCAGGAGAGAGAGAGATCAACCTACCGAGGAGCCCTGAAGAGTGATTTGGGCCATCATAGATGTTCAAAGAGTCCCAAATGCAGTCTCTTGCATTCTCTGTTACCAAGTCTCTGATCACAGCTTTCAACCTATTTCCTGAAATGGAATAAACTGTCCACGTGCAGTTCAGCATGTTGGGATAAGTGTTGGGGTAATTAGGAGATGTTATCTCAGCAGATCCAACTGGAATTAGATCCAAGACTGGACACCCTTAAAGATAAAAATGAGAGTTTCAGTGGTTGAGATTTTGCCCTGACAATTCTGTCTTCTCTAACATCCATTAAAAATGGTCTGAAAATGCTAGAGTTGTACAAACAACTGATTGGGGTTTTTTTGGATCACTGGGAGATGTGAAGATAATTTTTTTTTTAAAGTCAATGGAAGCATTTTGTTAGAGAAACATTTTCTTTGAGTTTGGATATCAAAAGCAAAAATTGAACCAAAATTCAAAATGAAGTCATTTTCAATGTCGAAACAAAACGCTTTGTTTCTCCCCCAGCTCCACTGAAACAATTCAGTTAATTCTATACAAGTTTACAAAAGGGCTCAGTCAACCTGAATTTGGTTTTTTTTGCTGGAGAGGGAGGGGTGTGAAAAAAAAAACAGTTTCATCCAAAAATTTCCACCCAGCTTGGGAAAAATCCTGATCCCCTATGATTTTCTAACAACAAAAGCAAGCATACTTATGAGTGGAACTTAAATTCTATTGGTTTCTGCTTGAACAAAGCTCCTGTTGATACGAAGATCTACCTGCACAGCAAACGTAGTTCTCCACACAGCTTGATACAGTGCCCTTAACAGGTATATTTAAAATAGGAGAGCTGTTCTAGAAGAAGGAAAAGGGATCCATCATTTGGGAAGTGTGTTGAACTCTGGAAGAGCCAAAGGCCAAGCTATCGGAGATCCTACAACCAGTACAATTCAGCCATAGGAGTAACATTTCTAATTAGACAGATTCATACCTGGAAAAACATCCCTGGGCTAAGCCCATTGAAGCCAATGGATGTATTTCCTCAGTTTTATTTAGTAGAGTAGAGCAGGCTGCAGGGCTGGAATTTACTTATTTTTAAAATAAATTTTACTCTTTATTTACTCCAGGCTTCTCCAAAGTCCTTTTGCTTGTACATTTCATGTACGTAGGTTGTGAAAGGACAGTCACTTTCAGTTATTTCACCACTAGCAATTTGGCATCACACACATTTAGATTAAGACTAAGGTGGGCATGAAGCGGATAGTGAACGCTGGGTACATTTGGTGGGGCAGTGAGGGAGGGAGAACTGCAGGCTTTTGGGAATGACATGGGGAAGGGTCTGGAAAACGGGATGTCACACTAGGGTTCAGATTTTCAAGCTTTAAAAAAAAAAAAAAGTGTGTTCCTTCCCCCAGATGTGTGACATATGGCATGACAGCTTAGCCATTTTAGCGACAACTCCAGGATGCAAGGGCAACGGGGGAACTCTATCTGCTTTTCCTTTCCCATCACTCAAAATCTGAGGGAGTTGAGGCGGACTTTGAGATTAGCTAAGAATTCCTTTATGTTCCGGCTACCAACACACTTCTCTGGTCCTGTGTGGAAACTCATGATGCAGGAACAGAAACAAAGCAGCAGCCAACTGATATTAAAGAAACAGAACTGTGGAAGCATCACCCAGACTGAGTGAAGGGCAACTATTAAGGCATTAAGCTGGCTATATTACTGGCTACGTTCTGGTATTGAAGTTAGCCACCACAGAGCCCCTCCTCCAAATAAAATCCAGGAGACATTTAGAAAAGCTATTTATGGTTTGATTGTTTGCGTCTCCCCTCCCCGCACAGCTGACAGAGAGAGCTAGAACTGATCTTACCTTTTTCAGCAGCTTTCAACTTTCCTAATGCAGAACCTAAAATGAGAGAGTTCCCATATTCATCGTTAATGGTTAAACTCACCATACAAATAAACTAGGGATTCTGAATGCCTCAATGGGTAGACACGAACTCTTGAGTGATTAGGCATTAAGAACCATACTCTGACACAGGGACAAGTAGTTCCCCTATATTTACAGTAAAAGGTCTGTATGGTTTCCAAATTTGTAATATTAAAAAGAAGGAGAAGTTTTAAAGATATGATTGTGTTTTGTTAATTTACAAGGATAAACTCGTTTACCAGAACTGACAGTATATTTATATTGGATAGACCTTTTACATGGACAAAACGTTCTGCTTGTTTTGTTATGTGGCATAACAAATGGGGGGGAGGGGAGAGAACTGATGGATTAGGTTGCTGTGGTCACAAAGTGATTTGCTTTCATGAAAAACAGAAGTAGTATCCTAAGGGACAAAGCAGTAATTTTTCACAACTATGATGTCTTTGATCCCAGGGTATCAAAAGTTACTTCGTAGTAGGACAGTAGCTCCCACTATGTGCTAGGTGTTATCCTCACAAAGATGACAGTCCCTGCCCCAAAGGGCTTCCAATCCAGGGCTACAAGAGAAAGGTGATGAGTGATGAAAAAAAAATCAATTTTTTAAATCCATCACTTTTTAAAAACTAACCAACCTTAACTGCTGTATGGAGTTAGCTGGTTTCTTGTAGGTGCAGCAGAAGTGAGTCTTGGGGCTGCAGGGAGGCGTTTGAAGGAGGAAAGCTATGAACTTGCATACTAGCTCAGGGAGGGAGTTCAGTGCATAAGAAGAGAGAGAAAGGAAAAGAATGGTCGTGAAAGAAGTCAACAAGTAGGGATGGTGACAGGGGTTAGTAGTTTACGCAGAGCAGAATGGGCGGGGTCACCGGAAGATACAGTAGTTTGGTCAGGCTGTTAATTAGTGACCTTCATTTCACAGATGGGAAAAGAAGATGCAGAAGTTTAGTGAATTGCTTCAATACCTAGTAAATAATAGAGACTAGGTTAGAACCAGATTTCTGACTCTCAATAAGCCTCCTCTCTGGAATGGATAGGTTGGGAGCCTCTCTCTCTCATAGTGCTTTACACCTTCCAGATATTGTCTGAACATTTATTAAAGCTTCTTCTTTAGGTTTTTCTTTTTATAAATGATCATGAGACTCTCCTGCTACGTATTTTTCTCTTACATTTTTTATAACCTTCCTCTATACTCCACTCAAAACCAAATCAGTAATCAACTTACCAGGTTGTAGATCATGGAAAGAGTAGGTCAGAACAAACCCTTTTGTAGCCACTTCAGCACTGGACGTGAAGGTCAGCGTCACCACTGGACCATCAGACTTTAAAGGAGAGGGTGAAATTTCACCACAGAAGTTACCTGCCAGGTAGTAGGATTCCAGCTGATAACCATGAAAGGCACAATGCTAGGCTATTGTATTTTACCCAGACCTGTTATACCGCACCTCAGAAAAATGAAACCTTAAACTATACCTCTGTAAATACTTCATGTATCAGTGAGAAATGAAACCTCCGTCTGTTGAGCCACCTTGAGTTCATTCTACTCTGATGAACAGACTGAGGGGCTTGTCTACACTTACAGAGCTGCAGCTGCACTGGTGCAGCTTTAGTGGAGACACTACCTATGCCGACGGGAGATCTTCTCCGGTTGACATAGGTACTCTACCGCCCTGAGAAGCGGTAGCTATGTCAGCGGGAAAAGCCCTCCCAGCCACATAGTGCTTAGGTAGGTATAACTATGTCATTCAGGGGGTATGGAAAGTCCACACTCCTGAGTGACATAGTTACACCGACCTATGTTTGTAGTGTAGACCAGTGCCAAGATAGAGCAGAATTTCAAAGGTTATTGTACACACTTCTTATAAACAAAACAGTGTCCTTCTCACAACAGAGAAAGTGCACTTTGACTAAAACAAACCAAAACCAAAGAGGTAAAAACACTCTTGCTGTAACCATTAAAAGCATTAGGGTGTGGTGGTTGGGTTGGGGAAGATAATGCTTTCAGACAGACATCTCTGATGGTTGAAAATTGACTGATCCTATAATCTTACACATAGAGGTCGTATGCTATGGCACTAATGAGATATTAGATACTTTTCTATTTAACTGTTTGGACTGTTAGTTCCCTCCCTTGTGTGTAACCCTGTCTCTTTGGAAGTTATTGTGTTTCACAGTTTTCATAAAAGACACATTTTTATGTGGAGATCAATGGATCGATCACAGGGCATCACGTTCATTGGAGAATGAGCCACTTCGGTGCCCTGTAGGCCAGAACTGTTTGAGGCAATGTATAAATAATTAGTAGAAATTCCTTGAGGGCCCCATAATAGTATCTGCTGCAATTTATTTCCAGTTCAACTGTCACTTGCTTACTGTCATGCACAGCAGTGTTGAGAGAAGCATCATAGGACACATTCCACATGCTAACGTGCATTTGTTCCTAAGATATTAAATGGCCAACAATTTGGTGACTGACATCTGCCTTTAAGGCAAATTTATCATGAACAGTGAAACAACCAACCAATCCCATCTCTACAATAGGAACTACAGAAATGGTTCCTAGAAATAGAAATGATGATGAACTAGCTAGAAGACACTCCCCTAAAGTCAGTATAAATAGAAACAAAGTTGGAATTCCTCTTTTCGTGTGGTAAATTGCCCAATGGTCTGCTAAGAAAACTGGAAGAGTTTCCCTCTTCCTCTTCCAGCAGCACCACAAGCAAATCTCTCACCTATTAACTCCTTGCTTGGCTCAAATCCTTCATACACCATCAGTTGTCCATGGCAACCAGACAGAGTCTTTTCAGTCCAGAAGGCCAGGAAATCAAGCCGAATAATGGATTTTAATGGGGCTACAATTCGCCAGTGGCAGCTGCAGGGCAAGAACAAATTAACACCCAATCACATGCACCCTACAACTGGCTCACATTTTCACGGGATTGTTACTAAAATGGGGTGGAAGGAACAAGGAAAGAAAAGAATTTGAGTCTGTTTTAAAAAACAAACCCCAAACAACAAAATGGAGATTCTAATCCAGGGGGAGATGTTGGTTTGAATCCATTTTGGTATAGAAATTATGAATAAAATGAACTATTAGCCAGTTGATGAAAGCGTACATAAAATAATGACACTTATTCAGAAACAAGATGGACCAATGCCAATGAAGCTTCCTAGCTGCCTAACACCTCACTGAGCAACCACCCCTACTCACCGCTCCCTCTTAACAGGGAAAGCTGGGGGAAGAAAGGGCTAGGAACTAGACAAGCCTTGCAAAAAGGGTTGGGATAAAACTGATCAAGAGTGCCCTTTTTACCACCTTGCTGAGTTATTCTATTCCAGAGGAGGGGGAGGGAGAGTCCCTTTCAGCATTCCATCTGACAACATGATGAATGATTTTACCAGAAGGATGCCAGAATTGGCCACTAATTGTTAGAAAGGGTGTAGCAGCATTAGCCCTTCTGATCACCATGTTTCTATGTGAGAGGCAGACAGGTTCCACAATTGCCTTCTGTGGCACCTGTTGAGTTTTTCAAAAGATGTGTAAATGAAATACAGAAGTTAGATGTGGAAAAAATCATTCATTCATCCCAGATCATCCACAGTTTTGTAGAACCTAGTTTAAGAGTTCCAAGAAACGGGATTAAACAAGTTCACTCTCACCTGGTGGCATTAGGATAGCCATGGGGATAGCCTGGTGACTGGATCAATCCTTCCAGGTCTGTGAGAATGACATCCCTGCAGCGTGACAATTCTTGGTTCACATCCTTGGGACGTTTCACTGTCTTTCCAATCTTTGGCCCTAGAAAGAAACTGGATGTAAAATTTGGGATTCAATTTTCTACTGTCTTTTAAACACACTTCTACCAATGGCCAAGACAATACCACATGAGTGCCTCTAGAAGATGGTCCCTAGGCTAAAGTCCATCTAAAGAAAGCTGAAAATTAAAATGCCTCATTTTAAAATTAAAATTATCTGGAAAACAAAACAGTTGGGCCGCCAACTAATTTGATACCAATAGTGATTATTTTCCATTATTCAAGACATTTCTGCTTGTTATTTAAGTTCTCTGTAAAAAGAAATATCAAGGCTCATTTTAGCATCATTCCAGCTTTCTTCATTCTGTGTTTTTCTAAGTTCCCACATAGGGCTCAGTAAAATAAAGAACTCTATTTTGGTGCTCAATAAGAACTCAATTGGTTCCTCCAGAAGAGAGTCCCTTATTCTATATCCACCCCACTACCTTCTGGAAGCAAGGAGAGTCCTGAAATTTTCTAGGTTAGTTTGAATTGGAGGTCAAATGTTCAGCTCACTCTCTACCAGCCATCTCTCTCTCTCTCTTTCTAGCAGTGGGGGTGTCACCTTACCATACCTTGGACTCTGAAGACCATGTACTCAATGCCAAAGGCTGCAAGGGTAAGAGAATGGAACACCACTTTCACCACAGGGCCAGGACTCAGAAAGGTCCTGGGTGACTGCAGGACACCACATAGTTCAGCTAGGAGAGAAACAAACCCAAGCAAAAGGAGGAATATTAGAAACTGCTCTGGAGACCAATCCTGGAAGTGCAACATTTAGTTGCAGCATAGTTACAAAATTAATACACAGATCTCTCTGTGGGAAGTAGAAAAACTAAGGGGAAGAGGAAATAAAGCCTAATACATGCAATATTCGGAAACATACTGGCTGTAAGTCATTTATCTGTTTGTATTTTTCAGTGTCTTTCTTGATGAAAATAAAAAAAGCCCAACTTCTGCCAAGCCTAATGATTGATTTTTTTTAAATTTATTTTGGATATGATTTTTAAGCATTTTAATTTTTATCAATTAAAATGTTCACAGGGCGAAAATTATGGAGAGGTCAGACTAATGACAACGGACATGGAAAATTAAAGAGTTAAAGCTTTATTAGCCATTAAAAACAAAATTGTCAACATCACATCAAAACATACAAAGTAAATATCCTTAAATTGAACTAAGAAGTTCTCAAGCAACATTTCTCTTATTTTGCTTATCTGTAAATTTTGACCATCATCGATGGAAATACTTTGTTGGTTTGTGTGTACACAGTCAAATCAATATTTACTGATAACCTAATCCTTCCAAGCTTACATATAATTTATAGAGCAGAACTCCATTATTATGCAATAACTTAAGGACAAGGTAGGAAACAGAACTGTTGGTCATCCTATGACCCACAGATAGTTGAGATCAGATGGACTGTTTGCTTGCCATCCAGAGGGCCAGTTTGGATTAAAATGTGGGCCTCTGCTGTGGGACACCCTATGTGTGGGCCTCTGAATCTGATATTGTTTCCAAGACCCCTGTTGCACTCTGTCCTGTTTGGATCCTCCGAGTTCCAATTTTTTGATTTCCCTTGTCTCCAGCTTTTCTGAATAAATGCAGGCGAGGCTAAAGGAATGTCTCAGCTCTGCCTGCTCAATGCAAGAAGCTGGATAAAAGTCTGAAAATAGCTTTTCCTTTAGGCATATCAGAAGCAGAGCATTGTTTACAATGAGTGTGAATCACTGAATCATAGGGCTGGAAGGGACCTTGAGAGGTCATCTAGTCCAGTCCCCTGCGCTCATGGCAGAACTAAGTATTATCTAGACCATCCCTGACAGTTGTTTGTCTAACCTGCTCTTAAAAATCCTCAATGATGGAGATTCCACAACCTCCCCAGGCAAATTTATTCCAGTGCTTAACCACCCTGACAGGAAGTTTTTCCTAACATCCAACCTAAACCTCCCTTGCTGAAATTTAAGCCCATTGCTTCTTGTCCTAGCCTCAGAGGTTAAGAACAACAATTCATCTCCCTCCTTCTTGTAACAACATTTTATGTACTTGAAAACTGATGTCCCCTCTCAGTCATCTCTTTTCCAGACTAAACAAACCCAATTTTCCCGCATAGGTCATGTTTTCTAGACCTTTAATCATTTTTGTTCCTCTTCACTGGACTTTCTCCAATTTGTCCACCTTTCCTGAAAGGTGGCACCCAGAACTGGACACAATACTCCAGTTGAGGCCTAATCAGCACGGAGTAGAGCGGAAGAATTACTTCTCATGTCTTGCTTACAACACTACTGCTAATACATCCCAGAAGGATGTTTGCTTTTTTGCAACAGTGTTACACTGTTGACTCATTTAGCTTGTGAGCCACTATGACCCTCAGATCCCTTTCCTTAGTACTCCTTCCTAGGCACTCATTTCCCATTATGTATGTGTGCAACTGATTGTTCCTTCCTAAGTGGAGTACTTTGCATTTGTCCTTATTGAATTTCATCCTATTTACTTCAGACCATTTCTCTAAATCATTTTGAATTTTAATCCTATCCTCCAATGGTAAATGCAGACTGCCAAGGGAACTGCAGGTCTCAAGGACAGTAGAAAGCCCCCCCCATCTCAAGTCTGTTTCCCTGCACTCTTTGTTCTATTATGATTAACTACATCAGCTGCTACCACTATTTCCTCCTTGTGGCTTTTAGCCCCTCCTTTCCCCAGAAACAGTCTGCGTAGGGGCATTGTTTTGTTTTAAACAATTAGAAAGGCCTCGTTTCTCCCCAAGCGCACACCATGCCCTCTCCTGAAACACTTACAATTCACTTCACTTCCTGTTCTACTCATAGCACATACGGAATAGGAAGGAGAATGCTAATAAAGCTCTTTGGGGATGGCGCTAGCATTCAAGCAGCAATGGGAGATGCTGCTAGCTAGTCATTTACCTCTTCTTGACCCCTCACCCCACCATCAGCACAGCGCTTTAAAATAGAGAAGAAAAAGCCATTTCCCCCACCCATTTCCTCACAGGGATTCCAAGGTTCTTATCTTGATTTTCCCTTTTCCTCTGCACATAGCAGCTCCAGTTCTATTTTATTTATGGTTGTATAGTACAGAATGTTGTGCACCTGAACTATAGAAGTGGGTGGGTGAGTTCTGTGGCCTGCAATGTGCAGGAGGTCAGACTAGATGATCATGATGGCCCTTTATGGTGTTTAAGTCTACGAATCTGTAAATCTGCATGAAATAAGATGATGTTGGAGCTGGCACCTTACTTTCTTTCTGACCCCTCTCTCCAACCCTATTCCATAGTTTCTGCCTATTTTAAATATAGGCACAATATTATCTCATTTGTTTATGTAGACCCCTTTCGCTCAACTGGTGGGTTCAGAGGGTTGCAAAAGACAATTGTGGGGTCATGAGGAACTGAAAATTGTTAAAATCTAAAGCAAAAAAAAAAAAAAAAGTTTCCCTCTTCCATCCCCATGCTCCCTTACACTTCCAGGGTCTCTGTCAACCTCTCAAAACAACCACTTAAATATATTTAGGTCTTCTGGGTTTTGGGGGGGATTTATTAAATTTGGGGCAGGGGAGTATTTTTAGGAATTTGAGTTATGTAGATGCCAAAAAATAGGTTTTTCAGGGCCTTCTTTTTGTATAACGTAGTGTGTAAGGAGTTGGGTGAAACCTTTTTATGGTTTGAGTTAAAACCCCATTGAAATGGGCAGGCGTGAGCTCTCCCTTCTATTAACATGACTAAGACAAGAAGGTACTTGAGAACCCACCCAGGAACTTTTGGCAGAGTGTTCTTTTGGGTAAGTGGGGGGAGGGGTAATGGGGAAAGAAATCACACAGAAACAGAGGCCAGACAGGAACACACAGAGGGGGAAGACTGCCCAAAGGAGCAGCTGAAAGCACAGTGGTTGACCCTGGAAGAAACCTGGGGAGGTTTTTGGGTCAAGATGCAGGCTAAAAATAAATAAATAAATAAATAAATAAATAATAAAAAAAGTGTGTTCTTGGTGCTTTGCACAAAAGAAACTGTTTTCTGCTATTTGGATTCCCTCTGTGTTCAGAGGCACAGGAGTTGGTTTTTTTACAAAGAATGTACTAAGCCAAACAAACCGCCCCCCCCCCCCACCCACCACCACCACAACTGCTTCAAAAGAAAAATTACAAGAGTCCATCAATTTCTACTTCCAACTGGAACAGCCTACTAGACCTCAAATTTTTTAATAGCTGCTTGGGCCAAAAGGGTAACAGTAGATTATAGGACAGTCTATACTGTCCACACCACAACTATGCCACTGTAGCACTTCTGGTGAAGACGCTCTAAGCCAATGAGAGAGAGCTCTCCGATCAACTTAACTCCTGCCTCCACGAGAGGCAGTAGCTAGGTCACAAGGAGAAGCTCTCTCGCTGACTTAGTGCTGTCCATACTGGTGCTCAGGTCAGTAATTTATGTTGCTCAGGGTGTGGATTATTCATACCCCAGAGTGACATTAGTTATACCGAAGTAATTTGTAGTGTAGACAGTCTTACTCATTACACTTGTATACACTGAAACAAGTGATCTCTTTGCAATGTTCCCTTATGGGTGTTAACGTAGTACTGCCTCAAACAGCACTACATTGAAGTGCAGTAGGAAACTTTTAGCATGCACCGGCGGGTCTACATGGATAAACACCACACATCAAATCCCTGTAGTCTGGCCTTACTCCTGAGGGCATTCTGTGCCAAAAAATTAAACATTCTGCACCCAATATTTTAAAATTCTTCAAATTTTAGTTTGTCAAATAAACATGGAGGCTCCAGCATGGCATTGGGGAGCACAGGCCACTGGCTACACAGAGGTGGGAAATCACTGCGCAGCTTCCCTCCAGGACATGGACTCAGCGACAAGGCTGCACCCAACTCTGACACAATCCAAGGACTGGGCCTGCCCCAGAAGCACCCCAGGGCCCTGCTCCTCTGCAACACGTGCGGGCAGACAGGCTCAGCAAGGCAGGATCCCAGTGTGAAGGGGCTTAGTGTGGCAGGATCCAGGTGTGGGTTGAAAGGGTTCTGTGTGGGGCAATCTGGGTGCAGGCAGCTCAGTCGGGGATCTGAGTGGGGGAGGGGATCTGAATGTACAGGGGCTTGTTAGGGTGGGGGGTTGGTGCAATGGGACTCTGCAGGGGGGGGTCCAGGTGAAGGTAGTTGGGGGCTCAGTGGGGAGTCCACAGACAGGGAGTGGGGCTCATTGGGGGGTAGTGAATGCAGGGGAGGGGGTGAGGCTCAGCAGAAGGGTCTGGGTATGATGGGGTACTTGGATGCACAGGGGTTGGGCAGATGAGGGAGCACCTCCCTGCACAGTGATCCCTCCCCTTGCATCTGAGGAGTGATGGGTGCAGGAAGCATGGGGGGTGGGGGTAGTTTGCAGAGCTTCCTACAATTGGGGGAGAAATCTGGGGGGTGGGTCTGACCCGGCCCCGGATTCTGTGCAGGGGAAGACGAAGTTCCATCCTCCCCAGCCCAGCTCAGACTAGCAGCTGAGCTCGGTGCAGGGTAGGAGCCACCAGCCAGGTCTTCCCCAGTCCCACCTCCTGCCCCACAGTGATTTACCTCTTTGCTGGCTGCCCTGGGCACCCGAAACATACTGCTGCGGAGGGGGACATGACTAATCTTGTGGCTTCCTTTTGCTTCCCCATCAGAAAGTCATTTTTCTGCAGGGAAGCAAAAACAAATTCTTCAAGGGACAAATTCTGTGCATATGCAGTGGCACAGAATTCTCCCAGGAGTAATTTACTGCTCAGTATAGACAAACCTTTAGATACAGGTAGCCATTTCCCATGTTTGTTGAATAATGAAATCACTGGGCTTTTTTTGTTTTTAAATCAGGGGTGTTTTATCAGTTAAAAACTGTAATCAGAAGCCATACATATAGAACCCTATCATTATCATTGAAAAGTGACCTGTAAGGGGGACTGTAAAATGTTTTTACTTCAGGCAAGGGGTACATCGACCTAGG